CCGGGCTCGCCCCCGACCCCCGGGCTCTCCCCCGACCCCCGGGCTCGCCCCCGACCCCGGGCTCTCCCCCGACCCCCGGGCTCGCCCCCGACCCCCGGGCTCGCCCCCGACCCCCGGGCTCGCCCCCGACCCCGCGCTCCCGCCGCCCGCTCGGAGCCGCGTGCGCAGCCGCGCTGCGGCCGCCAGGGGGCGCGGGCGAGACGGGCGCGGCCAAGGACGGCGCCGCAGCACCTGCGCTCGCGCGCTCCCGCCCCGCCCGGGCCATTGGTGCGCGCTCCCGCGCGGGGAGGCGGTTGGCTGGCGCGCGCGTCAGTCCGCGCTCCCCCGCCCCGCCCCGCAGTCCCTGCCGGGCCGGGCCTCGTCCCCGGGGCGCTGAGGGCGCGTCCCTCTCGCCGAGAGGGCCGGGGGCGTCGTTGGGGGCACCGAGTCCCGAACAGGTGAGCGGCGGACGAGCCCCGCGTGCCCGGCAGGAAAGGCGGGACAGGCCGCCGTAGCGCCTCGTCCCTTCGCCTTCTGCCGTCCCCGCTCCGGGCGCGTGTTGCGGGCGGAGCTCTGCGGCGACAGGCCCGGCCGGGCGCTCTCGCTCCGGCGGCGCCGCTTGCGGCAGGCCGGCGGCTCCCGGTTGGCCGCGGCGGCTCCGGGCGCCTCCTGCCCGGGGCAGGTGCGCGGGCGGCGGGCTGGGCTCCGGCGGGGCCGGGCGTCGCCTCCCCGCTCCGGAGCGCCCGGTCAGCCCCGCGGCCTCTCCCGGAGAGGGCCCCGCGCCCTCCCCGCCGGGAGATGTCGCTCCGGCGCGGGGCCGGCGGGCGCACGGCCCCGCCCGCCCGCGGGGCTCCGGCACCGGCCCGGTGCGTGCGGCGGGCACGGGCAGCCGGTGCTGCAGCTGAGCCCGGGCGGACAGCAGGAGCAGCCTTGGTACGGATGCGGGGTCTGGGGGGAACAGGTGGAAGCCACCTGGAGTTGGCTGCGTTCTCCTGTGTCCTTAGGCATAAATTCGAAAACTATTTGCGTATCATGTGGATGAAACCGTGCGGGGCTTGTTGAGAGCCTTGACTGCGATCTGATTTCAAATCACTTCAGATAGTTTTTGGTCTAGCTTCTGCAGCCTCATGTCAGCCTGGGGCTTTGGCATGATGGAGGAATGGATGTTGAAATTCTTGGTTATAGAAGCACATCGTGCCTTTTGTCTGTGGTTTGTTGTTCTGAACCCTACAAAATAGAGCATATGTGTTCTTGTCACACCAATTATTGAAAAAATTGAAATGCGTTGGTGTCTCTGAAATAGAGAAGAACATTCCTTGCCTCAGAAACATTATTTATGAATGTTGCAGTCTGTCTTTTATGTCTAGCTTTGATAGTCAGATATTTCTTCTCTTGTTCACCATTCGTGCTATGCCTGGTAGATATTCTTCCTGCCTGAGAAGAACGGGAAGCTGCTGTAAAGGGCAGAACTACACACATTTGTTTGTTCATTTTCCGTATGTTGCCCATCCTGCATGATGTAGCACGAGTTGGAAGAAAAATTATTACAAAACACTTTCAAACCAAGTTATTTTATTTGTTTTTCAGTTTATTTGCCTTATTTTAGTGAAGACATCTAGAAGTTCAGGTGCATAGTAATTACAAGGTTTGCACTTAAATAAAATGCCATGTGATGCAGGGCAGACAACAGGCATCATGTCTGTAATTGGATTGAAATACTTAAGTAGATGCTAACCCATTTTTAATTTGCTGTTTTGATTATTCTATGAACTGGGATCATTTACTCATGCAGAGATTGTCTATTGGATGAGTTTTGGGTGTGTCAAAAGAACACTGCTTTTCTGGCAAAAGATAGCTTGATTTGATGCTGTAGGAATTGCATATAGTTATAGTCTAGAAGACGGACTTTTTTAAGGGAGAGGTTCCCTAGTGACAGAACAAAAATAAAGACTGTAATAGAGGCACAGTTGTAACACCAATTGACCTGCAGTGATTTTTTTACCTTTATCAAAGTAACATGGGCTTTAATGAGATTTTCATGTCAGTCTATATAAAATAAGCTGTCTTTGAGAATTTCTTCTCGCTTGATGTGTACCTTTATTAAACATTAGGTTTTATTAAAGATGGTATAAAGCAGAAGAGGAGAAAAGGGAAGAGTTATGTGTAATGTAAATATCACCAAAATGAGTTACCTAAGCAGTATTTTCCTCAGGTTTGTAGCTGTTGATGTTTGCTGTAACAGCAATGGCTTTATTTGCTGATACAGAGATAAAAGAATTATTGTATTTGGAATTGTGTCCATTTTGCTTTGTTTAGTTAAACCTTGAAGAAGATGGTGTGAGGATGAGTAGCATTTACAATTCATAAAGCACCTTGAAAGAAGTGAGTGAAGCCAATAAATAATGTGGGTTCGCTTGGACCTTGTGTTGATTGACAGAGTGAAGGAGAGTTACAAGCACATATTTGGAGTATATTTAGTTATGAAACATAGAGTACATTGCTCTTCTCTCTGTGATGTATATGTACTTCTTTTGAGTTTGGGAATTTATCACATACCAATGAAACTAGAACAGGGAACTAACAATGAAAGTTGTGAGGGAGAGGTAAGAATAAAAATACCACAGTACGTGTTTCAGGTGAGGAGTGCATAGTTTGAGAAGAATTGACTTGTAAAATAAATGTCACCATAATCCTGTTTGCTGGTATTTACAGGAATGTTATGCTTTTAAGCAAGAGATAAAACTACTGAAAAGCCAGAGCTAGACCCAGCAACAAACTAATGGAGGTGTGCAGCAAAATGGGTTGAGAGCACAGCTGTCTTATTCCATCGTAAGTATGCAATTGTATTTAAAGTTACAGCTTTCACATTTTCACCTACATTTGATAATCAGAGATTACAGAAGTGTCTGTCAATTCTCTTCAACTCAAGTTTAGAGAACTTGAGTTGTTGTAGTATTTTACTATAATTTGCAGATATATCTTTCTTTTCCTGTAACTGAAGATTTTTTCCTTTCATGAGGCTTCCATTAAAGTAAAACTTCCCTTGATCGTCTAAGATATTGAAGTTTGCAGACTTGCTTGAAGGGTAGTGACTTCTGAAGGAGGACTTCTGCTGGAGAGAGCACTGCAGTTCTGTCTTGATATGGAACCTTGATGTAAAGATTTTGAGACACAGATAAAATTCCAGTCTATGCAAAGTTCTTCAAATGGTTTCTAATGATTAGAAACCCGCACTGTATTTCTTAATTTGTTTAGGTAGTCAGATGGAGATCTGTCTACTATCTTTACTTAGTAGAATTCAATTTATTGTACTTTTTTTAGCTTATACAAACAATTTTGATCATACTATTACTTCCTGATGCAGTAAGTAATGTTGCAGATAGAAGAATGGAGAGAAGAAAACACTTAAGAGTACATTTGTAAATATAATAAATGGTTATTAGAGTGAGCTTTGTAATCAATGGATATATAAAGACGTGAGGCATATTCAGAAGAATAGCATTGGACAGCATTGTCAGCTTCCTACTCCTTCATGGTTTTAGCAACTGAAGATTGTGCGAGATTTGAAATACTTTTTGACAGCCTTTTGTTATGAAATTTTGCATACAGCTCTCAAACTAGGAAAACTGAGACATTAAATTCATTATTATTTTGAAAAATAAGACATCCTTATTTTTATTCCACTTATAGAATGTTAGCTTACCTTTTTGGTATAGTGATTGCCATGTATGTCTTTGTATCCAGGTTGCTCTATGAAAGTTAGTTTGAAAAGTTGGTATTTTAATTGTTGTAGGGCAGCTTAGTGACAACAAAGGGACCAAGGGCAGTCTAGTGTAACATGTGACAAATCAAGTAAAGCATGTCATAAATGCATGACCTGTGCATTAGGTGTTGTTTTTAATATACTGTTAGATGTAATTCATATCAGTTACGTATTCATAAAAACCAAGAGTTTAGGACTTGGATTCTGAAGTTGTTTCTTGAACTCATCACAGCAGCTGCTTCTCTGCTCATAGTTGAACTCATTTGAGTTCATGCACTGGAAGGGTGGAAGTAGGAGAGTTGAGAGAATTTTAGAAAGGGAAGTCAACTTTGAATGTACTTTTTCCTGACTTAGACTTGATCCATTGGTAGCTATTGGGAAATGATGCAAGATTCAGTTTTTTTCAGCCTATTTACTCAGGGACAATGCATGTTACTGAGGAATAGTAGTTATTTACTTGAGTGATTTCAGTTTATGGTCAGCTGAATTAATCCACAGCCCCATTTTATTTCTGTTATGTTTTCATTATATATAAAATGAATATAGTAAGAAGTTACTATATTCATTAAATATAATAAGTTTCTCAGAAAAGGATGTGCATGAAACTGTTAAATCGTTCATAGTGTATTTTATCTGTAGGTGGTACTGTTGCCTAAAGCACAATGAAATATATTAAGGATTTCCTGGTGAAATGGACACTGAAAATACACAAGTGTTTGCTTTGGAAGATCTTTAAAAAGCCATCACATTTCTATGACTAATCTTCTGTAGCCTAATTGCTTTGTTATTAATAAACTTAGTAGGCAATTATTATTTAAATCCAAGCTTTCAAATGCTCTAAAAATTTTTCATGTTGTCCAAATGTCCACCGAGATCTATTGTTTTATTACTTCAAAAGGATTTTTTGAAATTAAGAGATTTTTCATATAAAACATTATGACTATTAACACAGCTCAACTGTGTGGTCTCATACCTGTGTTTTTACGTGAAGTGGACATCATAAAAGGCCTCAGAGTGGCATACAGATAGTTATTTTCTGAAGGAAGTTGGGTTTACATGGGTAATTTCTATAATTACTCTAGGAGATAGGGTTCTTTTCCCCTCCACTTTGCAGCAATCATGTGTGAGGGGATGAGAAATAGGGTTTGAGATGTGATACTTACTGGATGGGGCAAAAATGAAGACACGTGGTGTTTGTACTTTTGGGAAAGGATGCTGTTAGGAATTAAATGATCTTGCATCGGTGTTGCTCAGTGCTTTTGAGGTTTGTGTTTCTCTAGGTTAGCAAGTATACATGTAGCACTCATCAGCTGCTGCTTTGAAAGAAGTAAAGAAATTCTCCTCTCCAAATCCTTCCAGGATGGTTTTTTCTGTCACTGCAATGACAAACTGCTTCTAAATTGTGCAGGGTCAAAAGAATTTTGAAATCCTTTTGAATGTACTTTTTTTTTTTTTTAATAAAGTTATGATACTGAAGTAAAAGAAACCTAATGATGGAGGGGGTGGAGAAGATATGTAAGCATCTGGATGTGGAGAGCAAGCAGTGCATTGATTTAGATACTGCAATGGTATTTGCCTTTTTGTCTTTATTACCAGTACAACAAAAAGATGGCACTTCTCCCCAACCACCACCCTGCCCTCAAGAGAGCTGAAGCTGGACATGATGTAGACGGTGATACAAGTTTCACATCAGTGACTGATTGCAAGCACAGGGGCAAAAAATATAACCCTGTTATTGTTTCATTCTGTTTTTGTAATAGAACCTTTTTCTTCCAGTAGTTAGCTGTGCTAACATACTTTGGTTTGTACTCTATGTCCACAGCATCTGAGTATGACTTTGTTCATGATTCATCAAGGAAAGAAATGTTCTAGTGGTGAACATCTGGAAGAATAGTTTAGGAATGAAGAAAAGGAAAATGAATACAATGATGAAAAACAGTTCAGAACTGAATATGAGCTCTGAATATATGGTGTGTTGTAAACATGTCTTCAGGCTGGGTGTTGCCAGTGGACTGTAGTAGTATATTGTTGGTCTTGCTAAAGGTAAAAAGCAGGATTTTGTAGGTATTCTTCATTGTCTTGATCAATGCCAATTAACCGTTGTGATGTCTGATAGCAAATTCTGGAAGGCATATTCTCTGAGGAGCAACTGACAATTTTGTGTTTATCTAGTCTGGAGAAAAAGAGGCGCTGAGCAGCAACCTCGTTGTTCTCTGCAGCTTCCTGAGCGGGGACAAGGAGAGGGAAATGGTGATCTCTTCTGCCCAGAATCCAGGGTGGGACATACGTGAATGATTCAAACCTGCACCAGGGGAGGTTCAGACTAAACATCAGTAAGCATTTCTTTAGCTGAGAGAGTGGTCAAATACTGGAGCAGGCTTCCTAGAAATGTGGTTGGTGCCCCATGCCTGTCAGTGTTTAAGAGCCTTTGAACAATGCCCTTAATAACATGCTTTAACTTCTGGTCATCCATGAAGTGGTCAAGCAATGAGACTAGATGATCATTGTATGCCCCTTCCAACTGGAACTGGTCCTTCTAAATTTATTTATTAAAAACCACAAATCCTACTGGTTACTTCCATTGGTTCTAACCAAGTTTCAGTGCCCAGGTAGGGTTCTAGTGAACTTGAATTGTTCTCACTGAACCAGTTGTACAGCTAATTTAAGCTTAAGAAAGAACATTTATCTTTTGGTAGAATGCTGAAGTATTTTTTCCTAAAGGCGTGTTGCAGCTCTCAGTTCATGATTCAGTGGTATTAGGAAAACCATAATCAACTAATGAAAGTAGTAAGTAAATGGTTTTTGAAATCAGCTAAGCCAGTTGACTTGTGGAGTCTGGAATGGCTGAGTCAGGGCTGGTAAGAGGCATATATAGCTCAGTATTCTGGTAAAATAATGGTTCTAACGTTTACTTCTGTGCTTGGTTTTGATGGTGATATTTTTGGGTTTTTTTCAGTTGTTTTTGCACTGTCTTCAGTTTTGCTTCAGAAAGTGCTACATATCTAAATGGGTTTGTCAAATTGGCAAAGAAGAACAGACAACCTCTGGTGTCTGTTGCATCCTGATTTATCCACTTTGCTTCTGGCAGCCTATGAAGGAGATCTACTGCAGTGTGCCTGTGAACCTTCCCTGCAAACAGATAAGGTGTTTCCTTAGTTTTGATTTTTAGCACTGTTTGTGTAATGCAAAATTTTAATAATTAATGTGAGCAAGTTGAAATAAATTGTGTGAATCAAAAGCTGTGAAAGGAAGTTGTATGTCATTTTGAGTGACTTCTTATGTTTTATTGCCAACATTTTGGTCCTTTAATAATTTCTGGGATTTGAGAAATTTCTTTTTAATCTTTTTACTGTGAAATAATGGCAAGTGCAGGGGAATATTATTTTTAATATCTTTCCGTATGTTGTCTGACAGCCTCTTCATACAGTGAGCATAGCATTAGCTCCTGTGTTACTTTGTGTGCAGAGTGATGCTTTCTGCAGGTGGGGAAACACTCCAAATGATCAAGTGGACTTGACTTAAAGGATAATTGCTTCCTATGACTTTTTTGAAGGTAGCAAAACAAGTGGGTGTGTAGAGAAGCATTTTTTCATAGATGTGAATCTTGGAGAAATCTTTGCACATAGGAAAAAACAGTGCATTTTTAGTGCTTGTGTTATATTTGGAACATTTTGGGGGACGAGGTAAGGCGAGGGGAATCTATTTTGATCCTGTCTAGAATGAAAGTTTCTAGCCTTGCAAGATTTATGTACGTGCTGAATGTTGAAAGGCAAAAGTCTATTAGTGCTTTTGAGTTTAGGTATTAAAGCATTTTTGTCTCACTTTGGTAAAATGAACATTAAAACTTCATGTAAAACGGAACTTGGGCATGGTACAAATTCACATATAGGATTTTTCTTTCCCCTTTCACATCGTTATTGATTCCTCATGCCCTGGAGAAGCTATTCAGAAAGGCAGGAATGGAGGACACAAGAATATTTTTGTGGCCTTAATGTAAATGCCACATGTTAAAGAAATTACATCTACAGAATTACTTTCCACTTCAGGATTGTAAGGACTTTTAAGAAGAGCAACTCCAGACCTAGAAATACTGAGCAGCCTGTCAGTGCTCAAAATGAGTTAACTTTATCAAGAGAAAATAGAAAAGAAATTGACGCTTGCCTTGTTTAGCAGAGAAGATTTTGGCATTATTTGAAGCAAAATTAGTGTCTCATTTCATGCGAGATCCTGAGGAGAATTGTTTGTCATTGTAGGAATGAGAAGTGAAGACTTCATCTTTCTAAAGAGAGTAAAATAAGAGGCTGTTTTTATTCTTAGCTGTTTTGTTTTTTCAGAATTTTTCTGTTGGTGTGATCAGTGTTGTGGGTGGGGACACGAGGACGCAGCAGGAGATGTGGCAGTATCCCTTGCTGCACATATGAGCAACTACAGATTTTGCTGAAAGAGTCCATTTACAGGAATCAGTGTCAGTGCCTGCCATGGGGTCATCCATGTGTACTGTGGGGAGTGATGACACAATCATGCTGTTTGCTCAGTTAAAGAGAATCAGAACTTGAGCTGACTTGCTAGTTCTGTAAGCAGTTTGTGATAGCCTGCAGTTTCTGAGACTTTGTCCTGCCTGGGAGAGACTTAATTCAACATGAATGACAAATAATCCTTTTTTCCCCCTGCATTTCTTGAGTTGAGTGGAAGTAGGGGTAAGGACTTGGCATGGCTTTAGCAATATTCAATTGTACTCCTTCACAGTTGGTACTTGAAAAAGAGAAGAGCATCTATCTCCTAAAATAATCTTGTTTCCTAAGTCCTTCCTAAGCTCTGAGTAGGAAAAATGAAATATCTTGTATTGCTGGGTTATTTTCTGTGTGCATTTTGGGTTTTTTTATAAATTTAATTTATTCCACAAATAATTTGCTTTGCAGGAATTTCTGTTTTCTCTTTTCAACCAGTGCTGGCTAAGCTGAAACTTCCCACACCTTGTGGAGAGCATGTATAAAAGGAATGACCTCATGGCCAGTGTGATGGTCACCTCTGCCACTCCAGAGGTACAGTTCATTGGGTTTTATTAGCTCCTGTATCAAAATGGAAATTTTGTCTTGTTTCAGCTTTCACAGAAGCCCTTTCCACCACTAGTCAAATACCACACCATTTGTAAATAAAAGAACTAAAATGGCAAGGAGTAATTGTAGAACACTCCATGGTTTTTGGTGTTCACAGCCACGTTTTTTTATTGTTGTTGTTAATGATTATTTATTTTGTTTAGTTTTAAATAGCACCTTTGACCCGTTACTCTGTAACTTAGAGCAGCCATCGATTATTGGTGAGTTCAGAGCAGTGTAATATACCATCAAAATGGAGTCTGACAGAAATAGAACCCAGAAATATACAGCTGCTTTTGTGTGACAGCTCTTTCATTTAGTCTATGATTTTAAAAATGGCTTACTTAATCTGAGAATTTCATAGAGCTAGAATTTTATGTCGCTGTAGTTTTTGCAGAAAGAAGTTGGAAACATTTGTGTACAGTGCAAAACTAAATTTGGTGTCTGAAACTTCTTGAAGTTCATACATTTTCCTGTCATTACTTAGTATTTTTACACATTTATTTCCTGATTTTGAGATTAAATTAATAATTTTGCAGATAAGCCTACTATTTTTTCTTTGTAGGGTAGTAGCAGCTCAGATTCTCTGGAAGGGCGAAGTTCAGATTATGCCAATAAAAGCTATGATGCAGTTGTATTTGATGTGTTGAAAGTAACTCCTGAGGAGTTTGCCGTAAGTATAAATACTATTTTTGCATTTAAGCTTGTATAATACTTAGGGTTACAGAGTACTAAAAAATACATTAAATACTTTTTCTTAAAACCAAACCAAACCAAACCAAAACAACTTTTAAATAAAGCTTCAGTATTTTTGAAACACAAATTTCTGATTTTATCAACTTCAATAAAATAAGCCTGTATTGGGATTTAATCATTTAGTACTGAACTCACACAGCATATTTGTTTTACTGTATAAAGTAATTTGCATTTTTTAAAGTCTTTTAGGAGATCCTAGCATAGGTTAGTTCTGGTTAGTGGGGAATATGTATATGGTTTCTAGTTACTGAAGAGCAGATAGAAGTATGTCATTGTTAGCTCTATATATTACATGATAATTCTGTCTTCATTGCAGAGCCAGATAACATTGATGGATATGCCAGTATTTAAAGCTATACAGCCTGAGGTAGGTTTTCTTAAACCATCTGTTTACATCTTGGCAATTCAGTGCCTGAGGAAATGTGGGAACTCAAAGATGCCTTTTTTTGTTCAAAGATGCTCATCTTCTTGCACTGCACTAATGTTTTTCTAGGTATATTCCCTCTTAGTACTCTGAATCTGTAATCCAGCATGAGTTACTTTGGTTTGTCATCTGTTGCCAAAGGGGATAACTGTGCTTTTCTGGATGTCTTCTTGTCTACCTTTGAGTGGAGTGTTTCTTCAGGATAAGTTCATCAAGGGTAAAAATTCTCTATTCTCCCTTCTGCAGCTGTTTTTCAATTCATGTCTGATTTCAGACGTTTGACTGCTGCCTCTGGCCATAATCTCTGGCCATAAAGTGTTAGACTGCATCAACTGCTTTATAAGCTTCTTAATTTGTACAGTCATTTTTAAGATTCAGAATAATAAATGCTGTGTTTAGATCAGCCCAAACCCTTAAACATTAGTGTATTATTGTCTTTTAAGATTTTAACTTTTTAAGAAAGACACAGAAGGAAACTCAAGGCCTGTTGAGGAAAAGCAGTCAAGGTTAACATAGACATTTGAAAATTAGTAATAAGAACTTGAGAAATGAATAATAAAAGTAATTGTCAGAATATGACAGAATTGCATAAAAATATGATAAATTCATTTACTGCAAAAGGTACAATAATCATGTGTCTCCTGCTTCAGGTGTTTTTAATATAAGAACATGTATCCATTGTGGGCTGTTATCTTCTTGTCCTAAGGTTGGAGTATCCTGATTGTATAAAGGGCTGCCCATGCCTTCCCATAATGTCAGCAGAACTGAATGTCTGACATCAGTAGGGGCAGTCAGGTTTAGAAGGTTTTGAGTGGAAGCTCTGGCCACCTAATTAGGTCACTAACAAAACAAGTCATCATTTATTACAGTAGTTCAGAGAGATTAGCAGGCTTCTATTTTGAGAAAATATAGGAAGGAAATAAAAAATTGGTCTATCTGTTGTCTGTCCTACCTGTCAGATAATGACTTTTTTTCAGTGCTAAAATGTATTAAGAACACCAAGACAGTTTTATAGCTGAAAATGCTTTCATGCTTCTGAAATTACATGTGTCCTCCAGGCAGTTGGGGAGACATTTCTTTCCTGTGGGGAAGAAAATGGCAAACAAATAATGCAATAAGAAATGAGCAATGCCCATAGAAAAATCTGCTAGCAAAAAATTTTCAATATGTACAAATTGATACATAGATACTTTTCCATGAGGAAGTTTTATTTAGACAAATATCAAAACAAAACAGAGAGGGTTTTTTATTCTAACTACCTTTGCCAAAAGCAGAGGTAGTCATACTCTGAGGAGATGAATTAACTAAAAAATAATATATATAAAACTATAGATGTTCATTTTTAAAGCGAATTTTGCATTTACTTTAGTTGCTATGAAAACTGTGCCATACTATTTTATAGCAAAAAATATCCCAAAACAATTGATTTGCTGTTCTTCTTTTCCTTTGTAATTGCTTCGTTTTGCCTTTTGGAAATGAGATTTCCTGAAGTGCTACTCTGGCAAATAGATGTAACCCACTGAGGAGTGATCAGAAGGAAAACTATTGTATTTTCACCTTCTGCTAGAATGTAATTCTTTGAATATGTAGCAGTTACCATGAAGTACTAGTTGTTAATTGTGCTTCCTGATTTTCATTTTATTGGAACTGTCAATATAGTTTGTCAAAACTAAGCAACTGTTTCTATCCTGAAATTCTGCCAACTGTAGGACTAGGTTTTAAAGCAAGAAATAGTCTGTGTATTTGTCATGAAACTGCCCCTTGCTATTAGTTAGTAGACTAAGAAAGTAAACATTTTCTAGTTGAAGTTTAAGGTTTTATTATTTTAACATGACCTTATGCATAGATGAACATGCCTAAGATTTTAAATTTGGTTGCTAAGTCTTATCTCAAACACACAAACATCCTTTAAGTATGGTATTTGCTGAGGCTTTTTCCTGCTTTTCAACAGCTATTACTATAAAACACGTCTGCATTTTACTTTGCAGAGTTTAGAAAGAGAATGTCTAGTTAATAATTCTTTGTTCTCCAGCACAAATAATTATGCTTACATTTTAGATTTTTATCTGACTTTATTTAGATTTTTTCCCAAGTCCTGGAATTACAATCTCCACAAATTTCAGTGTTTTGCACTTGATGGCAATGTTTGCTGTGACTGTGCACATTGAGGAAACTGCCAGCATCCCTCCATGCCAGAAAAAAAAAAGAGATGACGTGTAATTCTCAAACACAGTTATATTGTAGCACTATAAAAAAATCAGCAGGAGCATTTTGAATCACTCACTTGTATCAACCTTATTATTCAGTCTGAATTTAAACCTAGTCAGATAATTTTGCCATGCACGGGATTTTCCATTGTTACTCACTAGCCCTCTTGCAACTGATTAGGTTACTGATCTCTTCCACTTTTCTGACAAAGGTAAGTTTTGCTGTCCCTAGTAGAGTGTCTGAGATTTTTTTCCCACATAAACGTGATTTCTAGTATCATAAGACCAGACATGGACTGTTCATGTGTCCTGACAGATGCAAATTGTCATTTTTATCTGCAGAAGTTTAAAGTCCTGGAGATGGGAATTCAAAATGTGTTTGGAGCTGGAAGTGCTTTTCCTGCTGCTCACACAGGCATGTGCAGATCTCTAGAGTGCGTTCCATGTATCAGCATTACAAAGTGCTTTACAGAGGCAGAATTCTCTTTGGCTGACTCTGCCTTTTCATATGAAGGTGTCTAAAATTAGTATTGTAAATTTGGAAAGTTGAACAACATTTTGAATGAAATGGAGATTTGTGGTTCTAAAAACAGAAGAGTGATTTAGAGTTAGTGTTATGAAGACCTCATTTCTGTTTTTAAGGCAATTTTTAAATGTGTTTCCTAGGAACTAGCCAGCTGTGGATGGAATAAGAAAGAAAAACACACCCTCGCTCCAAACATTGTTGCCTTTACTAGGAGGTTTAATCAGGTATATAATTTGATTACTGTCATGAACAGGTACTGTTTGACAGTTGTCTTTGAGTATAAAGTTAAACAGAACTACTCACGTGAATTAAAACCTATTTTTCCAAACAGGGATTAAGATTTTTAAATTGCAACTCCTGTTTTCAATTGGTTTGTCCACATTTTCATATTGTTCCTCTAGACCATTTGTTCCTAATTATTAGTTCCTGATTTGTTTTGCTATGGTGCAACATTAGCAATTTTTTTATATTTTTCTGGGTTTCTGGGTGCTCATTCAGTTACTTTGTTGTTGTCTCGCTTCTCTACTTCTTATGCTGGTAATGCTTCAGGGCAATTGCAGTGATACAGATGTGAATTCATGGAATCAGAAATATTTTCTTTCCTTAGCCTGTTTTCTTTCTGGAACATTGCCAGTGTTTCCAAATATTTCATCTAATAGACTAATAAGTCCATTTTTTTATAATAAATTAAAGTTGTATATGTTTACTTTATAGGTCAGTTTTTGGGTTGTACGAGAAATATTAACAGCACAGACCTTAAAAATAAGGGCAGAAATATTGAGCCACTTTGTGAAGATAGCTAAAGTAAGTGCAGATTTCTTACACTACCATTCAAAACCTTAATTCTTTTGTGTTTGTTTCTGCACTACTCCTGTGAGCCCTTTCCAGTGTGCTAAAAGCTATTATTCCCTTTTTTCAGAAGCTTCTAGAACTGAACAATCTTCATTCTCTTATGTCTGTGGTGTCAGCACTGCAAAGCGCACCTATCTTCAGGTTGACCAAAACTTGGGCTGTAAGTGTTGCCTTGAACCTTGTCCTTTCTGTCTTGTTTGAATTCTGAGGTTCTTTGGAATTTGTCATATTGTAAACTCTGGAGGAAGATACTCTTATGTTTTTAGCAATATGAGAACCACTGACAAATTAGTCAGAAATAGTGGTCATGTTTTTTCATAACTTAAGACCTACACTAAATGGCCTTTTTTTAACAGGTAGCATGTTTTCAAGCGTTGTGCTGCTTTGGATGATGATGAGAAATTTGATCTTAACTGGACTGCTGTCCTTTACTCTGGGCAATTCATCAAGTTACTGATTGTTAGTTTTGTGTGGATTTGTCTTTGAAAATTTTATGATCTTCGTTTTCTCTGTAGCTTTTGAATCGGAAAGACAAGACCACCTTTGAGAAGTTAGACTATTTACTATCTAAGGAAGATAATTATAAAAGGACACGAGAGTACATCAGAAGCTTAAAAATGGTTCCTACAATTCCATATTTAGGTGAGTGTGAACAATTACCTTATTTATCTGTAGCTCATTGACAGACGAGTGCTAATGTACCATGTTGTGCACCTGAAGAACCCTCTGTGTAGAAGAATGGTTCACTCTATTTCATATTTGGAAAAATTAGGTCAGGTTGAGATTTTTGGGCTATACATATGTTTACATACTTTTGGAAGGAGTTTTTCTCTCAGGTGCTGAATAAATATATGTGTAATTCAATGCTAAAATGTATTAAAAGGGAGACCTACAGTTAAAATGCTTTCCCGTCTTGATATTGTCTCCTTTTCTTTTGTGATAAACACAGAGTAGCCATTTGATGAATTGGTTTTTTTGGTCAGTATTTCACCTGGAAATATTTCTGCACAAAGGTTATTGTTAATCAAAACAGTCCAATATAATTAATTGCTTTCTGGCTTTATTAGTGATTTAGTCAGATGCTAAACTGCAGCTAAAAAGAATAAAAGTTTTTAAATTGGTGACACTGGATAGCAAGACCTCAAGAATTCTGCTTAGCCTTCCTGGGCCAGAATTGCTATCTGTATTGTTTACCCCTAATGCCTCAGTAGCCTTATCTTCTGTGAACACTTTCACTCTTGCTTTAAATACACATAACCTTGCATGCACAACACCTGGCTGGCAGGATTTCTTCAACTCTGTCCAGTACCACATTCTTTTGCTTGAATTGAACATGGTAATTTTTACCTTCACTAGATAAACCCTACCTTGTTCCTTACACAGCTTGAGGCTACTCCTGACATTATGGACTTCAGTCATTATCTGTTGCCTTCACTGTAGATCTTCAATTACCTCTCTTCCAAAAGGAAGAGTCCTTGGATTACTTGATCATGCCTTGTACAGATGCCACTTGGCATCCTTGACAACTTGCCTGGGCAGCGTTTCAGTCCTGTATCCTTTTTTTAGGGGAAGAGGGTGCACACGAAGTGTACTGCCTGCGAAATTCAAGATAGAAGTGCAGGTTATATTTTATACAGTTACTTCAGGAAGCTTTTTGTGCTCTACTTAATAATTTCTGACATTCAGGTACCTCAAAGTTTAGTAGCAATCACAGAGTAGCAAGCATGAACTGTTTATTGTAATGCTAAGATTGTGCCTTTATTGACACTGGTTTGCTCTTCTTGTTTTATATGGAAAGTCGGTATTATTTGTTTACCCCTTGTATGTAACACTGTCCGTAGATTTCCATCTTCTGTTTTACTATCCAAGCAGTTTATCTCCCCTAAATCCTTCCATAGTTCCAATCAGTCTGCCTTTCTCTTTGCTCCTCTCAATTAGTGAATATCATTAGGAGATTTTTGTTTCTGTTCCTTCCCATTTTCAGATCACTTATGAATAAGTCAAGCAGCATGAATCCTAGTACACCTTGCTGTGGAAAACAATCAGTACTGCTTATCTAAAATATTTATTATTTAATGAATTTGATGACCTTTCCTAATGGCCATACTTTTAAAACTGTATCGAAAGCTTGGTATGAGTTACTGAAACTGCTATGTAAATAATTTCAGATTTGAATGAATATTTAGCTTATCAAAAGAGAATATTCAATTGAGACTTGTTTCAATGAATAAATGTCTTCTCAAGGAAGACAACATTACTTACAGAACATCTTTATTCTTTGCAAATGAACAAGTAGACCAATAGATTATTTTAGGAGTACGTACTGAATATAAAACAACTGAATTGAGAATGAGCAGGTGTGAGGACTTGCAGAGTTCTTGGGGATCCTGTTTTGTGCTGTAGAACCTCTTGTCTCACTGTAAGAAAGGTACTTCATTGAGAGAGAATGGTTCTTATTTCATCTGTAGAAGCCTGAGATTGCTTAAAATGAGCTGGAGAATGTACTGGGAAATTAAAACTGCCACTGAAGTTTTCCAGTTACTCTGGTTTATAAGAATTAGCTCACAGCCTTGTGTGAGAAATGTTTTAATACTACACTGTTACTACAAAATCACTCCAAGTCACTTTTATGCAAGATTAAAAATATTTCTGAAATGAACATGTATGTTACAAGCCTAATAAAAGACTTGGGTAATGAAGGGAAAAAATCTGCATGTTTCCTTCCTAATCCAACTGAGTTACAGGCTTGAATCTGAAATTTCTGCTGGTCTTTAGCCAGTCTCTTTGAGACTTTGAATCATCCTGCATATGTTGTATCTTGTTTCATATATGAGAGACCCTCTCCCTGCTGATGGCAAAGACAAGGCAGTGTTGCTTTTCTTGTAAAGTAAAGCTTTGCCTGCATTCTGAGAGGTGCAGTTGGACATTTTGTGTAACATAACTACTGTTGTGTTTCCAACCACAGGCTATAATATGAGAGACTAATACTGTTTAAAAGTACCTGTTAAACATTAAATTTTTGTTTGAATCAGAGGCAGACTATTGTGTAGTAATCTGAACTGTAACAAGATGAAATCTCCACATATCAAAATAACATTTGTTACTTTATTAAGGGTTACAATATTACAGGGGTAATCTAATATATTATAAACCCTACTTTTAGTTATATACAGCACATGCTACATACACATCATACTGTGGTAAAGATATGATGAGGTGCTAAGGGAACACACACACACAAACACTCAGTGTCATACAGGCTGACTATAAAATATGTTGAACTTCTGGAGGCTTTTACTCTGCTTCTTTTATGCATTCTTTAACTTGTATTTTTGTAGTAGTTTGATTGTAATGGGTGTGTTAACAATCTGTTATAGAAACCTATTTCAGAAGAATATTAGAATTATGCCAGTCTGTATTTCATAAGTGTGACTGACCTCTAAATATAAATGAGTAAATCTGTTTAATAATTTGATAGTAATAATTGTGAAATATGATAAAAATAATTTTTTTGTTACTGATAAGTTCTCTATATAATTTTTTATCTAAAGGCTATTAAATAGCTTATAAACTGGTATCCATCATTTGCCTGCAAAGTTGGATAGACCCTTTAATTTATATCCAGTCATTTCTGATTATAGAGGCTACACACAAGGTAATCATTGAAGTCAGGCACAAAATACTGTAACAGTTGTATAGTATAACATGTTGGCTATAGAGCACATAATACCTATTATAAATCTGGATTCATTTCCATATGCAAGTAGCTACTTCATTTTGGTAAGAACATAATTCATGTTTTTAATCTAAAATATTTGAATTAATAGTGAACTTTTATAGTACCAGATTATTTAAATGTACATAGTGAAGGGAAAAGGCCAGATTTATCGGGACAATAACAGTTTGAGTATCTGCTCTCAAAACAGAATTATATAGTGCTAACTTTATTCATGGTAATTAACAAAGATTACATAATGATCACACTAATGTACATATACAAGCTACATAGTTCAAAGGATATGATTCCTGTGTCAAATGATGGCTTATAATAACAACAATAATAATAATTAAACTCTTGCTGTACAGTTTGTAATATTTCCTGTATTTGAGAATATTTATACATAACATACAAAAATACTTAAATGTGGTGGCAATATTTTTATCATCCAGACTTAATTTACAGGGAATAAAAACCAGGAAGTTTATCTACAGTTTTCATCTAAACTGCAAGTTCCAATAGGACCAAGAGGTGTTCTGAATGTTATTACAGTTCCTTTTCTTCAGCTCTTTTTCCTGGGATGATTCTTGAAAATATAATATACAAGCTCTCATACCTTACCATTAAATGTACAGTATCTTACATTCCTCATTTCTGAAAAGATAAATTCAGGTAATAAAACCATAGCTTTATGTGATTTCTAGAACAAGAAAGCAAACCAAGAGAAGAATTATTTCAGTGAAATGTGTTAGGGTTAGGTCTTATCATCATAACAACTTTCTTTAGTGAATATGATCCTCCCCGAAATTCAGCCCAGTAAACACCATCCTGATATCGACTGCGGTAGTGTCCTCCACGATACCAGACTCCATTGAGATTTGAGTGAGCACATGCATTGTACCACCATCCTCCCTTCTGGTAATGAGCACAGTTACCTGTAAAAGAAAGCTCCAGTTCAAGCAAAGTACAAAATTTTGTTGGTTGGTTGTTCTGGGCTTTTGTTAGTAACTATATGTTTAACGTGTAGATATCCTGTGGTACAAAGTCAACTTAGGCTTCTTCAGGAACCAGCTAAGTAGTTAGGTTCTACAGATAGAATCCTTTTTGTTACTTCTCTTGCCTAAAAATCAGTGGGTGTTACTGCCTCAAATAACCCTTCATAGCATATTTTACAGACCCTTGTCTGCTGTAAAAACTTTTAGTTTTGTTCTTAGTATATGTAAGGGTTGAGACATCAGTTTGTATTTCATAAGGTACTAATTGACAAAATCCCTTTGTTAGTACAATTTCTTTTTTCTTTACGTATGACCATGAGTATTTTTCCATTTTCAAAAGAAAGCAATGAAGAAGGGGGAGGTGGGGATGTAAAGGCAAAAATGGCAAGGCAGCTGGGAGGGACCTCCTACCTGTGTATACATCGTGGTCCCGGTCTAGTGTGGTGAACTGTTTGCCGTTGTGCCAAGTGAAAGAATCTCCCGCGTTGCCGTTGTAGCGTCCTAGTCTCAGCTTGTAGTACTCACTCTCTGGCTCCAGTCTGAAGCTGGCATACTCAGCAAATACTTTTCGACCTGACCAGTCTTCCATTGTTATGAGCAGTTTGTAGTTGCCTTGATTTGTTAGCCAATAAATGTTTTCTAATCCAAGCCAATATTCTCCATCTATATTACCAAATCCTTGCTGTAAAGGAAGCAAGAGAAGCATGTTAGTATCTGTGTTAGTGGTAACTCTGAGTGTATTCTCAAGCAGAAAACTGCAGTAACTTATTTTATAGATACTTCCTCTTCTGGAAGGGTAAACACACAGTTCTTTTTCAAGTAGGCTCTTGGCCAGACTCTAAAACCACCCTTTATCAATAAGTTCTAGAGGGTAGAAAACATTAATTGGCTGTCTTGTCCTAACCTTGTATGTCTCCCAGTTCCTGAAAAAGTTTACAGAGCCATCCAACCGTCTCTGAATGACAGTCCAGCCACCGGGGTCATGCCGTTGGTCACACCAGACCTGCATAAGCTGGTTTGTGTTTTCTGGTTTTACAAGGTAGATGGAGCTCGTGTCATGGCCATCTTCTAATGCTTGTAGACAGTCTCTCCAGGGCCCTGTGTCAAAATAGAAAGGCTCTGTGTAAAACTGTCAAGAGCATTTCTTTAATGCAGGGCAATATTTGAGTTGGTAGCTTTTTATATTACTTTGGTTTCACTGAATAGCATATTTGTTTTTCCTCTTATTAAAGAATGAGTATCCACCAAGTGTTTTCAAACAGATTCATTTATTGTAACTTTATTTCTGTAACATTTCACAATGAGTTACTGGTAAAGGTAGATTTTGGAAAAAAAATCTTTTAAGGCTGCTGTACTGGTACTTTCACCATCAATTATATATTTGAAGAAACTAAATATGAATGACTCCATAGATAAATAAGAATTTCCTTTAGAAATCAAAACAGTAATTTTGACCTTGATTCTATCTTTGGGGATCTAAAAAGCTGAATTTCTCAGAAATGTCACTGGCGCAGGCATCAACAGTGGAAGCAACAACATAAATTCTGACTGTAGGTCTTACTGCTGCCACCTTAATAAATTACAACATAATATAGAAATTAAGATTTCTCTCACAAGCACCCTATGTTAAAAAAAAACTTTATATAAATGAGAGGACTCCTAATATATACTTTGAATTCACAGAAATTGCAGTTAACACATTCTTGTTTTCAAAAGGAGAATGCATTTTTTCCTTCAGTTCAGTAGAGTCTATGAAGAGCTTACGCTTTTTGAAGATATGTTACATTCCTGTTTTTTCAAGAAATTTTCTCCAGTGGCAAGATAGATTCTCTTAATGTAGCTGAGATACTCAGAAATAAATTATTTATAAATTCAGATTTAAATTATTTATAGTCTGTGTTAATATGTGCAGATAGACTCCCCCAGCTGCTTTGCTTCCTCAGCAGAAGAGTGAAGTCAACAAGAATCCTCAGGATTAGAGATTTGAGCCCCTGGATTGATTCTCCCTGCCCACTGAAGGAGTAAGGCTTGTCACATCTTCTGACTAGGAGCATATACTGCTATCAAGAGTAATTACTGTTCTAAATTATTTCAGTCCTATGGTTTTTTATAATTTATTGTCCAACACTACTAACAGTACTCAGCAAATGTATTAGAAATAAATTAGTTGTATAGAAATAATCTCAGTGTTTCGAAAATTAAAACACTGAGGTTTTGGTATTTTTAGCTATTTTAATCAGCAAGTCAGTATACAAAGAGGCAAGCCAAGTCTTTGTTCTGTGGATGCTGTGTTCTTGTTGCCTGACTCATAATCAGAGACTGTACTTGGAGCTGTGCTTAAAAGCCCCTTCTCAATTTCTTTTGGGGCTAACTGTTTAGATTTCTGGCAGCTAAGTTATAGATGCCATGCTCTTATTACACCATTGCATGGCTCATTATGAGAGGTGGGGAAAAAAATGTTAATGAGCACTAATAATTTAAATTGCTCTGGTTTATTTTATCACAATGTGTATGTAGTGGCACTTACTGAAAATAAGAAAGGAAGTCATTATTGAAGAAGTTCTAAAATAGCCAAACAGCTTTGACCTTGTCCTTGTAAAAAAACATATAGCAGGATGCGTGTAGTATTTACACCATTCTAATCTTGCAGTTTCTTTTAAGGCACACGGCAGCAGTACTGTGCTACACTACTTTTTTCTGAAAGTGATTAAGAGATTTTTGAGAGAGACTGTCAACAGATTAACAGAAGACATTTACTATTTTTCTTATATTTTGGTCCTGTTTTCATTGCACAGAATGACTGTGATCAGGTGTATAGTACAGCCAGGAGCTTTGGATAAGGTTGAGAACGCAACACATAGTGTGAAAAGGACTTGATAAAGTATGGGTGGATTTTTCCTGCTGGCTGAGCAGTTGTGGTGGTGGGTTTTGTTTTTTTTCTGTAGGATGTTGTTTATGGGTTTCTCTTTATGGGTTTTTTCTAGTTGCCTCCAGACATCTGACTAAAGCATCATTTATGACATTAATTTTAAGGAGGGGTTTGAGATGTGGTTTGTGAATGGAGAACATTCTGGAGGATGAAGAAAAGGTATTAAATGTTTATTGACTGAAAAGAAATGTGAGGGGAAGGAGAATACTCTAAAAATAAAAGCTTAATTAGCTTAACTCCAGTGACTGGAAACTCGCTTGAACAAATAAAAAGCTGCAAGTGAGAAAATGAGAGAATAATCAATTTGTGCAGAAGAAACATGAAACTTCATTTTCTGTTAAGTGATGTGATACAGGGAGAAGAAACAGGTGTGAAATCTATCTTAGAATTGTGGACTGCCAAAGGGACCTCTGGAGAGCAATGTGAAAAATTGCTGGATAAACAGCACTTCCTCAGGTGAAGATCGGGGAGTTTTACAGGGTTGCAGACTGGTTTGGAATGAGCGAGCGTTTTACTTTTCAAAAGCAGGAAAATGTATGAGGATAGATCAGCAAAAGTACTGTGCACCACAAGCAGCATTTCTGTTCTGCTGTTTGATAGTGAATCCTCAGCTCCACTGTAAGGACTTGAAAGCACAAGGCAGATGTGGACCAATTAACAAGTTTTTGTTCAAAGAGCGTAAGGGAATAAAGGGGAAAGGTATTTCAGTTCCAGAAAGATAGGGGAATACTGTTCCAAGCTTGAGCCTACTTTGAGATTGAAGTAAAAATGTAATTATTAGAGAGGCCATGGTTTACTGCTCCAAAGGAGTTGTAGTAGATCTAATTTTCTTCTGAGAATTTTTCCTTACATAGTACATCAGAATTATGAAATTTCTGGCAGAGGTTTTGCATGCCACAATGCAGGCTTTGATGCACTATCTTTGACATTCTGTGGAAATACTGCTTTGTAGTGAAGTGTTTTAGAGACTTAGGCTTAAGAGATTCAGTGCTTACTTGCTTAAGTTTCTTTCGTTATATTTCCATGGAGAAATAGTACAGGGGTTGTTTGGTTTTTAACATGTGGCTGTTGCATTATTGGATAATCCTAAAAAGTTTGTTGATATCCTTTGGAATATTTTGTAAATAGCCATGAAATATATTGAGTGCATTACTCTATTTCACTTATCTCTGAGTTCAGATATCTGTGACTCTTATCTTTTTTCTGAGGAAGGTGTGTGTTGTCCACACAGTGAAGAGCAGTATGGAACATATACCTGAACTAGTTTGGGTTTGTTTTTTTTTTTTCAAATGTGGGACCATAGGTGAAACTGAGTCCTTTACCTGTTATTTTGTTATCACATAGATCAGGTGATCTCTAATGTGATTTCACATCATCAAATCAGGCTTGTGGCAGAACTCCTAAAACTCTTAATCAGGGCTGTATAATATGCCATTACTATTCCACCACTTGCTTTCTTTTGCTCCTGTCTAGAGCACAAGCACCCCATATAACATACAGAGCAGATAATTACTCCTTTTTTAATTACACAGGCACATTATCAGATGCTAGATCAAAAAACTTGTAATAATTTCATATGTTTACACAGTGTCAAACTCCTTCAGATGTCATGAATTGTAGCATTTAAGTCTTGAGCAAAGGTAAATAAAATTTAGATTATTTGAATGGTAAGATTTTTCTGAAAATCCTTTATCTCATACATGTAATATAAATTATGGGTTTGTCTTAGCAAAGTAGCATGAGAAAAATATGTGGGTTTTGAGTGTCTTAGACATTCGCAGGTGTTTTTTTTTTCTTTCTGTGTTTCTACTACAGCATGTATGTAAAGTTCATTAGGTAAATAAATTCAGACTGCATTTTTGATACTACAATTAAAATGTTGTCCACTACATATTAGCATAAACTAATGTAAATGTATCAATAATACTACTTACCAGATGGTTTATCAGTTGAAGTTGGAATACTAGTAACTGCAGGCATGGTTGGTAAGGTAGGTGGCAGAACCTTTAAGTTCTGGTCACTTTGAATCTCATTAGTAGATATCTGATTATTAATGCGATTGTAAGTAGGAGGCTGGTACACTTTAATTGGTGGTTGTGGAGTTTGTGGCAGTGGCTTTATGGATGGCATTCTTTGACAATGTTCTTCCAGCTGGGCAATTATTATTGTCTGATTATTTGCAATTGACATCAAATGTTGATACTTGTGCTCTAAGTCTTTGTATTTGTTTGCAAGCTGCAACATATCTGCAGTTTGGTTCAAAATTTTATTTTCAAGTTGAGAAAGTTCTAAGGCATTATCACGTTTTCGGATAATTTCATGCAATAGCTGCATGTAGAGTTGCGTGACACGAGAATTCATATTTCTGCTCTCTTTTCTTAAGAGTTTAACTTCATTAACAATTCCACCATCCACCTCTACCAGTTGCTGGAGAGTTTCTATTTGTCTCTTTTGTTTAAGAAGTTCATTGTTAAGTAGCTGTAATTCTTGTTTATTTACCCTGTTTTCAAGCAGAACTTCAGGCTCCTTAGAATTAACGCAAATGGCACCTGTCACTCTCTGCTGAGGTACAATAAAGGTGTAAGTGCATTTGTCCTGTGTGTCACTGGAACGCTTATATCTATTCATATAAATGAATTCTTGGGCTTTTTCCTTGTCATTGCCTTCAAATTCCTGTGTTTCACTTGTAGTAACTCCCACAACAGTTACTAGTATTAAACAGATGAATCTTGTTGTCATCATGATCCTCTAGGTCCGGTCAAATATTCTTCTGCAAAGAACTTCGTAAAATCTGTTATAAAATAAATTTAACAGTGATGAGTAGGAAAACAGTGTGGATTTACAAAATATCATTTATTCTAAAACTTAGAAAATAGTACATAGTAACTATGTGTGCAAATGAGGTCCAGCATCAACTTGTGTTGACTAAAGGGGATATCATGGGAGGTAGTTGTATCTTTCTTTGGTCAAAACTGTAGTGACTAGTTGCTAGTTCATCTAAAGCCTGCCAAGAACCATAAGAAAGTAAGCAGTAAATACAAGGATTTGAAGAGTCCTTTCTTCCAGGCAAATACCACAAAAGTTTCCAAGATTGGCGTTTTCATTTAAATATGAATTACACTTTCCATTTCTTACCATTACAAATACAGCCTTTAAATGTAAAGGTAATACAAATCAATATATGTATTAATGCTGATAAAAGTTCTAAAAATATCAAACTGTTAATTTGCAGTATTTTAGAATGGCATACACGTTGCAAGAGATACAGTTTAGGTGACATGTAACAATTTTACTTTATTCAGTAGTATTGAATCTCCATTGCTTAAAAAAAAGGAAAAACTTATTTTACATTGGTCCTTAATAACTGTAAGTTAAAAACTCTACTACTCAGATATTATAGGCAGTAAAATCTGTTATTTTTCTGGACTAGTAGAATTTACAACTGAAACATTTACTGTGACTCTCACTGGAGACACTGTCTCTACCCTCAGCCTAGTCATCTCAATTCAGAGTCCCTTCTTGAAAGGGGAAAAATAGCTGCATATGTGCCTGGTGGACAGTGACAGTGCATGGTTGATTTAAATCAGCTGGTAGTGTCTACTGGCATACTGCAACAGTTGCCCTTTGGTAAAATTGCCCCATCTTAGTTCTCCATGCAGACTCATATTCAAGGTGGACAGCTGAGGCCTTCATAATCTCTCAAAAATTAAGTCAATACTTGAACTCTAGGCAACAGTAGACTTGGAAACATAGGCTTAGCATTGTCACTGCTGCCAGAAATACCCATGTCACAAACCACTCTCTTATCAGCTACTTGAACAGCACTTTGATGTTGTGTATTTCTAAAACCTTTTTGTTGTTGATTTTTAATACTCATGTGTATATGCAACCTAGTTTTCTTAAATAAAATTAATGAAAAATGCAGTATGGAGATTTTTTAGTGTATAAAGTCTCATACTTTTTAACCAAGGTGGTGTTGCCATAATGTTTTTCTTTGCTTGTAAAAGATTTCTCATGGAATAATATTCAGTATTTAAGTTTCTATCACTTTACTGTTTGATACAATATTTTTTTTTAATTACATGAAATGGTGATAGTAACAGCTGTGAGAAACTGGAGTGAGTCCAGCTGAGTACACCCAGCATGTCTAGCTGGAGCTGGCAGACATAATGAATGAAGAGCAGCAGGAAGAGTGAAGTTTTTGTAGCCTCCAGGTGAGAAGGTATAGAAGGACATGTTCAACTACTTAATGGGTGTTTAGAAATAAGATAAATTATTTCTGGAAGTGCACAGTGAAAATATATGGTGGATACAAATTGCCTCAGGAAAAAACTGGGTTTTATTAAAAAAATTAACTTCATTGTGAGGGTGACTGAGGACTAAAGCAGTCACCCAAATAGGTGGTAGAATCTCCATTCCTGGAAATACATTAAGTTTTGTTTTAGGTAAAACTATAAGCACTCTGATCTAATGTTGAAACTAGACTTGCTCTGTAAGACAAAGATAAGGTCCCATCCAATCTAAACTGTTTTATGATTCTAGGCAGCTGCTGACTTTTAAGAGATTTTTTTTTTTAATATCAAGATAATGCTGGATATGCGTCCTTTATTATTCATACTGAGAAGAGAGATGGTTGTCACTTGTATTTTTCTGTTTTTGTGAAATAAACCATAGTTGTTTCTGTAGAAGATTCAAACAAAGTAACCAGAACTTAATCCTTCTTAAAATTTTTGGTTATATATTTTTGCCTCAGTTTCTTATTTGGAATAAACTCATTTTCATTTTGCAAGTAGAAAGGACTTGTGCTGTACAGAACTTTTCAAAAACCTTGAAAACTTGTCAGATGATAATCTGGAGTTTGACACGGTTTCTGTACGTAAAGCAATGCTATTTGGAGTCCTGGAAAATAGGGAACATAAATTCACCCCAGACAGCTTTAACTTGCATAATCAGCATTTGCACAGCAGGTCACACTTGGAAAACCTGGCAATTTTCCTGGCCTCGTGTTCCTGCACAGATGACTGGTTTTGCAAATGTCTCTTGCATATAGGTATAAAATAGTTTTATTTTGCTGTTGGAATTTTAATATCCTTTTTTCCCCCTTCTAAACTCTACTTATTGTGACCACTGAAAAGAAGCTCTTTTTTTCCTCAGAGTTCAGTTCTGTCTGTTACAGCATCCCATATCAGCATCTCTCTGTTTTGAGTATGGCTTTGGCATTCCCATACTTTTCTGAGCTGAAGAAAGAGCAGCATGTAACAGATTTTTCTCCTGATTTTTTTTTAAAGAACTGTGTAAGAAAATATTGGGCAAGAGTTCATCATCCTCGTTATAACATACCATCTTAATGATCATCTAGTCCCACTGCCTGACCATGTGAGTGACCCCTCTCTAGAAAGCCTGGTCTAGGGTTTGACCAGTAGTTGCAGATGGCAGGCCACCAGTGAATGACATCAGCATAATTACACTGTCCTGAAATGTTTCTCTGTCCTGATCTTGCCTGCTTGTCAAGACAGATGTTCTTATAAGAAGAATCAGTGGAAGGAAAGTGACATTGGTTAGAGAATGCCCCAGTACAAACAGAAACAAGAATCATATTGTCATCAGATGTCCTCCTTCCTGCAGTCTGTATATCATAATTTTGTCTCTTACTATTTGTACTTTTTTGGTTAAAAAAAAATGTGTTTAGAATGAGGCCTATTTGTTGCATAGTGGGAAGGACTACATGAATAAATGGCATTACTTCCTTTCTGCAGTTGGATTAAAATGAAGTTCACAACATGGTCATTTGAGCAACTCTCAATGATTAATTTTTCAGGGACAAAAAAAGCTTTCTGGAATGGAGAAAGTAGGGAGGGAAGCCAGAGAAACAATTTTAAGGAAGGTTTTAATGCTTTTTTTAATACCTTCCTCTTTGAGTAGCAGAACAGCAGATTCTTAGGACATTAGGATTCCTTCCAGGTAAGAGGAAGATTGTATCTGATGTCCGGGACTTTAACTTCCAGTTTCCTCCTGTGCCCAGTAATCGCTGATAGTCCTTGTACTTGACTGCTGCCATTGCTTGCTGATCACTCAGTTCTTCCTGTTTCTCTGGCTGCCTACCCCTTTTCCTCTGCCAGTAGCTTTTCTGCAGTGGACTGGGTGGCAAAAGTTTCAGCTACTTACGATTTGCATAATATTGGATAATCCAACCTGTATACCTTTTTTCATTATTTTTTGGTTTTGATGCCATGCCTAGGAGGATCCCATTTTTACTAAAGAAACTGGTTAACTGTCTTTTTCAGGTTTTGTGAAATATTTTGCCTGTGGGATTCTGTGTACAAGTGAAGGTCTATCTCCATCAGGTGAAAAATATGACTTAATAATCATAGAATTATTAAGCTTACATGAAAATGCTGCCAGTAGCTTTTTAATGCTATGGCTATTTTTTGTTGAATGAAATTTGTTCATAAAAGAGACGCTTGCCATATTACTCTGGAAAGAAATGTGTATATGAAAGCCTGAGTATATAGTGTCAACAATCTCACATCTGGATCTCAAGTGGTTTTGCAATGTTGAGTCTTTCAACCATTGAGTGATTGGTATTTTGTGTCTAGGAGTTTATACTATGTTATTTTTATACCTGTGCTTTTCAGTGTCCTGCAAAAACTAGAGCAGGAAGACTACTGGATGGTAGCTGAGCACTGAACTTTATTATGTGTTGCTTAACATTACAAGTCAGTTTAAGGAAGAAAGGTTTTAATACTTAAGACATTACCTGTAGTCTAGCATTTTGGAAAAGTACAAAAGCAAAATAATGATCTGTGTTAATCTTGTGTGGAACACCTTAACTAAGACAAATGGGGAAAGTAATTGCCCGGATTTCATACCAGAATAGAAGTTTTGTATCTTAAATTGCATTATTATGACTTATCTCTACAGATAAGGAACATAACAGATCCCAGTAGGTAAAAGTAACAGAATTGCTTCTTGCTGCTGCTCTTGTATTTCTATGTAAAGTAAACTGCAACAAAGCAGAAAAACATAGGTGTGACATGATGATGCATTGATCCTTGGACAGGCAGCTTTCAAACACATGATACATGACACTTTTGATACCCTCGGAGACTCCTTTACAGAGAAGGCAATTTTCTGTGCTAAAACTCAGATGTTATAAGAAGAGCATTTCTGAGGGCTTGAGTAGCTATTTGGATTGCAGTATAGTTGAGTGTTCTGCAAAGACTAGAAAAAACACTACCCGTTTGGTTTGTGGAACTGATAGTGAGAATCTGGTATATGAAGCAGACAGCAGCAAACTTTAACAAGTTAGAAAAGGTTTTTAGTGGCTTTTATGCTGCAGCTGAGGAACTAAGGAGGCATTAATAGTTTACTGAGCTATGATAATTACCGTAAACAAGGTGATGCAGTAGGTTTCCTTTGTGACTTACTCTTAAGCAGAATGCTCAGAAGCTGTTAAGCTAAAATAGGATTTTCCATTTAAGTCATTGTATCTTTGGGATAGCAACTATTGTTTTTACAATAATCATTGTCACTCAGCCTCCCTAAAAAGACTCCCAGAGTATTACATATCTTAGAAGTTAATTTCAGGATTGTGGGGGTTAATTTCTTTTAATATTTCACTCCATTTTCTGTGTAAGGTTTTCTTTTTGTGGTGTATGGTTTTGGGTTTTTTTTGGGGGGGATTGAGTTTTTTTTAATAGATGACTTCCACTTACTTAAAGAGTGGGTAGGCAGGGTCCAACACTCAGCATTTATTTCCATCTGTACAAATTGCTCTGACTGAGGAAGGGCTTACAGTCTAGAGGGTGGATTGTTAAGAGTTCATGTAGGTCCAGTGTGCCAGAACTGAATGCACTGCAATTACTCTCACACATCAGCCTTTTAGAATACTCAGATAGGTGAAAAACACACATACAAAAAGGATAACACACACTTTTACATAACATTCATATTTTCTGAAATGGTTGCTTTGACCATGAAGAAAAAATTATACTGTACATACAAATGAGCTCATTCAACTATGCTAAACCACTGTTAATTAGCTTTTTTGTGCTAGTTATATTTAATAAAACTAGGCCAGGAGTACTTTTGATGGGCTGTCTTTTCCTCTGTACCTCTGATACACCATATTCTGTGCAGTCCTCAGGCACTGAGGCTTATAAAGGAAGGCATGTTCACAGAAGGCAGAGTGTTAGCTATGACAGCATTTATTCTCTAGAAGATAAACTGCTATATTTTATTGTGAATTCAGACATAACTTGATAGCTGTGCATTCTGAAGAAGAAACATGAACAGCTAGCAACACATCTTCACTGTTTAATACTTTTGTCTTTGATAATGAAAGGTATTTTTATATTAGTGCAGTTTTACATTTTTATTGCATTATAAAAGCAAATGAAGCAAGGGTGTTGAAAATGCAAAATCCTGATATGAAAAGATCAGAAGGCTTGGTTTTGCATTTTTAAAAAACAAATCTTAGGTTTTTTGCTTCTACAGAATCCTTTGATAGCCAGTGTTCGTGGACTTACAGTTAGCTGACATGTTCCAGGCACCAAGCCAGTAATATGATCTGGATTTCACAACAGCATTGTGATAAGACAGACGAGCATGAATTTTTTGAATTTGCTTGCTTTCCTACTCCCTATCCCTTGTCTTAGAGTTCATGCTCTGTGTTTTACTCCTTCACACGTTTTCTTCCATGGAATTATGTTAATTTATCCTGTCAATTTTTACCTCTCAAAAGTCTTTTTTCTAAGAGGAGGGACTTCCACTGCTGCAGGGTTTCTTTTAGAATAAACTCATGTCATAACTTTTAGATGAAAAGTATTGCTGTGAAAAACCTAGATAGTGATTTTTTGTTTTTGTTTGTTTGTTTGTTTTGTAAAGGGAAACAACAATTCACAGTGAAAATACAGCACAGTA